TGCGTGGTGTTTAATCGCCATCTGTGCAGCTTGTTTCGTGTGAAATATCTGCCCCTTGTAGAATTCTCCTTCAAAACTAGCAACAATGGGCATTGGAATTACGCCATATGAATCAGCAAGTGATAATTCGTCGTCCTCTTCATTACCCTGCAATTAAAAATATGGAGGATAATTAGGCTGCTCTCCTTCCTCCTCCTCCTCCTCCTCATCATCGTCTTCCTCCTCTTCGTCATCACCGTCATCATAGTCATGATCGGATGACACGCTCCATGTATCATCTTCTTCCTCTCCACCCCGATCCTCACTGAGCTCAACATGTATCTCAGCACCCAAACAATAAGGATTTTGTGCCATAAAATTCAAAAGCACATTCAAGCTATCATCATCCACAATAGGCATCGCATAATGAAATAAAACACCATTCTGCCATTCTGGAAGATGGTAAGTGAAACCTGTGATCACATCACTATCTTGTATTGCTTCGTCTCTATGTCGTATTCCTGGATGGAACCGTCAACTGAAAACTACTACCACCAACAAATTTGACGCCCAAATTATCCTCTACTTTCTCCGATTTCCAACGAACGACTAGTTCAAATATTCTAAAATCACTACAGAAAAACAAACTCACTAATTAAAACTAAACACAATCATAATAGCATTTGAATAATATAATTAAAAAATAAATGTGTCTCTTACCTATTAGTCATTTTTGCAGCAGCAACCAGTGCTCTCCTCCTCTATGTTCATCGATTTTTTTTGTGGTGTGAATAACTGAAACAAAATTCGTTGGTTTTATAGGGGGTAACCAGCAATAAGCCAGCGGACCCGCCATAGTCCTGGGCGCCAGCGTCAGGTATAAATTCCCACCGATTCACCTCAGCCTCAGGCGGTACCACCTCAGTCTTGGGCGTCGCCGCTGTCACCATAACAAATGATCCAAAAAGACAGAAATAGTGGCAGCGCCTGAGTCTCAGGTGGTCCCCCTGGTTTTTCTCTCCAAAACACAATAATTGTGTCAATACTTTTTAATCCGCCATATTGGTGGTATCTTTTAAAAAAAACAATATTTCTGGCATTGACCCTAGAAGTGGCCATTAGAGTGTGCCAAGTAGGGATCACCCATAATTTTTGAAAAGGTGTTAGTCGATATAAATAAAATAATTAATAAATACAAATCTAATTCATAGAGTACACAGTTAGTCAGTTACATTGTTTTTCATAGCGAGCAACAAATTTGTATATTATGAGGGGTTTGTAAAATACATTTAAAGCTTACTTTGCTACTCAAGTATTTCTCAATGCATACAACCTAACAATTATTGATAATTGGTCACTGATATGATTTCAAATATAACTTTTTTATCAACTTCTCGTAGTAAAAAAAAGTCATATTACTAGTTGCAATTACAATACATGTTTCAATTACAACTTTTAAGGGTATATAAGATATTTTAGTTACATGCAAACACCACGTAAAATTAGGGACTCACAAGTCAATTTTCCACTGCTACACTTCTACTGCAACGAAGTGCGTCCTCCTTTCTAGTAATGTTATAATCGGGAGGTAGCGAATAACCGGTACAAGAGGAGAGCCAATAGTCTAAGTTACGCTTAAAAATTACAAAAAAGATATACACACCGTCTATAATAACGGGATACATAACTAAAAATGGACAAGTTTACCATAAGACCAAAACACAACGAAAAATAGCAATCAATTAGTTCAACTATAGCCTATAAATACACACTACAATTAGTCTCACTTCACATCCAAAACACAACAAGCAAAAATCTTCCTAAAGAAAATCACACTAAAAGTCACTTAACGAACGAAAGATGAAGCCCGTTATGTTTATCATGGCCATAACTACCATCGCAATCATTATGTCCACCTCCAGTGTTGATCCTGCTGGTGGATGGCAGCCGATAAAGAACATACACAACTATCATATCCAGTAGATTGCCAAGTTTGCAGTAGGAATGCACAACTTGGAAAACAATTTCAAATATCCGTTGAAACTCGTAAGCATTCGCAGAGCCCTAGTCCAGGTGGTGGATGGCATGAACTACAAGCTCGATGTGATAGTTGATTAATAATTAGGAATAACATAAGGTTATGTTGGTCTAGCTAGTATTTATATAATCAATATGATTCAGGAAAAAAAAAATATTGAAGATTTTAGATTAGAGATTTCAAATCTGAGATATTCATTCAGAGAAATGGAATTTAAATATCTACATCCTAACTCTTTGGATTGTTAAATAAACTTCTTTTAATTTTAATCTTTGGTCAATAATTGTTTATATTTAATGTAAAATAGTTATTCTATCATCAATATTATGTTCCCAGACATAGAGAAAAGTCATGAAATATGGACAACTAGCTGCAGGGTATCTTCAGGTTAGAGCTTCTGGTGTATGCTATGATGGGGTTCTTATGAATACATTCTCTTTTAAAACGGTTGGGGAAAAAATAAGGCCAAACTAGATCTTATGTAACCAAAGCAATCAAAATCTAGATCTTAAAATATTACGGTTCACGATCTTACATGTAGGTTCCGATCATAATTTTACTACTAAATATTTGAACATTAAAATCTCATAAAATCCTGATTAAAAACTGTAAAATCCATAAAATCGACCATTTATATGATTATGTTCGATTTCAGGGAATGGACAAATTGAAACAAAAATATGATGGTCAAGCTAGGTTTATCCCCATGAACCGAGTTTGTCCCACGAAATTCTAGTATTTAGCTGCGTCAATTTTCATTTTCATTTGAAATGAAAATTTCAATTCACCAATGGTATGAGATAGCATGACTACTTCCAATGGAATTTGCATATTCACAACATTCTTAGCAACCGCCCATCCCCATTCGTTTTAATCCAGTTGTCAGAATTTGACATGGGCATTTTTGGAATGGTTTCGGAAAGAAATAAGGTTAAAGTGGCTCACACCAAATTACATGTGCATTAGCATTGGCACTTTAAACTTCTTTTAAGTTGGTGCATAACTTTATGATCCCTCTGGTGGCTGGAAACTGTCTGATGGAAAACTGTTGTGAGATCTTTGGGAGTCTACCTAGTGGCTGCAAAACTGTTAGTCAAGGCTTGCAAAACTTTGATAGACAGAATTACTAATAGAGTGTAGAATTGGGCTTGGAAAGTAATGGGTTTTGCAAATAAGGTGGAGTGAATAATACATGTACATTGAATAGATTAACTCAGTATTGAATGAATGTTTTTGTTTTTCTTAAGACTATGATTAAGGCTATTGAAAAGATCTGCAATGACTTCCTGTGGGGAGTGGGGGAAGGAGGAATCAATAGGGTTGTAATATGTTGGGATAGAATTGCCTTCTGGAAGCATGAAGGTGGGTTGGAGTCTATAAACTTGGAAAGTTAGGATGTCGCTTGTGAGGTTAGACATATATGGTTTATAACTTTATATGGCTTCAACGAGGCTTTCTGCGAGTAGCCTGGATACTAGCATTCTAACTGATCAACATCCTGGAACTGGTTAAAGATGTTGACGGTAAGGGGCAGAGTACAAAACTGATGGAATATAGAAATGGCGAAGTATAGTGGAAAGGGTCTCTAGTGGATAAGTACTCAGTAGAAAAGATTTGTGCAAAATTGACACCAAGTGATGTGAAAGTGGATCAGTATAAGCTGGTTTGGAAATCATCTGCAACTCCTAGGAAAAAATTCATTTTAAGGATATTGGTGAGTGGCTTGGTTTAGACCAGGGAGAAAATGGTTAGGTGGGTTTACTCTGGTCCCAAAGACTGTGAGATACAAGTATTGAAACTCTTGATCACATTATGGTTGAATGTCCTGTTAGCCTGTTAGTCAATATATCTTTACCTATCTTTTTTGAAGTTGATTCATTTTTCATTAAGATAGAAAATGGGTGAGGCCTAATGGAAAAGTTACAAATATAATATAGAGAAAGGTTAAAGAAACCAAAGCCTCAAATCCCACAACAATGACCGGAAACCCAATAGGGCCCAGACAATGAGCCCAACAAGAGACAAGTTCTCTAACTCTAGTCGTATGATGCTCTCCACATGGAATCCCACCGCCGCTGGAAACTTCAAAACACCGCCTCCTCCGATCAACTAAAGCACTGGGAAGAAGGACCACAACGGACCAATAAGCAAATTGGAATTAACCAATCCAGATGGAGGACGGTGGAAGTACCATGAGACGCTTCTGACCACTCCTCGCCAGACCAAACACCATCAGCTCCTCAAGGTTAGAAACTACAAGAGAGACTTTCGGACGAAAGGGAGGACATTGACGGAACCATGAGGAAGAACTTCTGTCTTGAAGATCTTTGATTCACATCCAAGCTGAGAGGCAACATCTCCAAAACACTGAGATCTGCAGGGTGAAAGATGCAACACTTGCCTCAAAATTCATGGGCATAAAAGATTAATTGCACACTCCAAGGAGATAAGACATTGGGGTTGGAACATGTAACTTGAGTGACTCCGAGGAGCAAGATTTGGAGAAGGAGATGTAAGAAGGTTGTATGGGGGAGTCGGTTGAGATACAGAAGGAAGTTGAGGTGTTTGTCCCTGTTGATTAAGGTTTTTTGCTTTGCAGAATATGCATTTGTTGGTTCTGCGAGCCATTTTTTACTTGAGTAGTATGTTACACATAGGATTATATTTTTGAATGAATAGGAAGAAGTGGACAAGGCGAGGTGCTGAGATTACTCATGTAAAGCCTACTTAACTAGTAGGGGTGTTAGCCGTAGCGCAATTTGATGAAATAAACTGATTTATAGAAACATAAATTTTACGATTGGCACATTAGACTCTTTACCTTCACAATTCACAACTTGGGTTGGTACAGAAGTGAATGAAAGTTGTTGGTATTGGTTATAATTTTCCTTCTTAATTCTTGCCAAACAAATTCTCTCCAACACAAAATTGCACCAAACACACTTTGTAGTAGCAAAATAACTCACAAGTCAGTCTTGCATTAGAAAATGAAAACCATTTATAATAATAGAAATAATCATAAAAATAATTAATGAGGCAACTTGCCAATCCAAATGTACCAACAATCCAAAAAAAAGTTAATAGATAATAGTTTGCGATTACAAGCTATAACGACGGAATACGGCGACCCGCCACCAAACCAAACCAACAAACCAACCGGATCATGACCCGGTCGGGCAGAACGTGATCAAGTAGTCCGACCCGGAACAAGTACACGTGCTGGAGGCATCATCGTAGGCGTAGCTATACGCCGTCGGGCAGGCATCTTTAAACAACGCCGAGTACTGTGACGGCGAGCACGTCTGCGGCGTCGCGTGGTCCCCCGTGCAGCAGAACTCCGGCGCGTCGAACGCCGCGCACGCGCTCTTGCACGCGACCACATTGCCCGTACCCGGGTCCGTAACCCGGAGCTCCGGCGGGCACTTGGCGTTGAGATCCGTCACGCAACCCGCGTACTGGCAGTCGCCCGACCCGGATCCGACCGGTTTGACCCCGACCCCGACGTTGTACCCGTCGACGAGGCTCACGTCGTAGAAGTCCTTCTCGCCGGGGGCCGCCGCGACGGTGAACTCCGCGAGGGAGACCGGCGGCGTCCCGCCCCCGGCGCACTTCAGGGTGCCGCCGCAGTCTCCGGTGAGGCACCTGCCGTTGCCGGATTCGTCGAAATTGCAGCCGGTTCGGGTCCAGAACCGGCCCGACCAGCCCGGCGGGGCTTGAAACTGGACGAAGGCACCCGGGGAGAGGGAGAAGCCGCCGTCGCCGAGGGCGGCGGCGCCGTTGCCGGAGAGGGTTCCTGGCCAGATTGTGTATCCGCATTGGTTGAGGAGAGTGAAGACGGTGGCATTGGCAATGCTGATTCCTGCAACAAAAACAAAAGGAAATTAAATTTGAAGAAGTGGGTTTTATGGATTAAGTGTCGTGGATTACAGGGGTAAAGTAAAGGAAGTAACTTGGGGGAGAAATGAAGTTACCTAGGAAGAGAGTTAGGAGGAGGAAGGGGAAGGAGAGTGAGGGAACCGACGCCGCCATTGCTGTTGAGGTTTCTTTCTTCCTGGGTTTTGAGTGAGAAGGAGTTGATGAGCTTTTGAGATGGTTGATTTATAAAGGAGATTAGTGGGGAGGGGTGGTTAATTGGTCGTGGAGGAATGAGAGAGTGGGGAAGTTAAAGATTGGATCGTGGAAGTTGGGAAGTTGTAATTTGGGAAGGTTTGGGAATTTATACTACTTGGATTGGGAGTTTGGGACTCCCTTTGTTTAAGTCCTCCATTAATATATGGTAGAGTTTTGTGTACTTTTTTCCATTTCAAATTTCCTGCAACGAGAGTGAAAATAGGAAGGTCATTTTTGTCTTTACACATTTATTATTTATTTCATATAAAAATAGCAATATCAAGGTTTGAACTCGGGTCTCTTCAAACAAAGATAACAATCACAACCAGTTACACTAAACAAATTTATTGCATTCTTTTTTATAAAAAAAATAGACAAAGTTAATCTCTGAAAATCAGAGGACTTTTTATCATAATTAGCAAGCTCACTAAGTCTACCGTATTTATTTTTATCGAGCTTGATACTTCTATTTTCATAGTAGAGTTTCATGTAATTTTCTCAATTTTAAATTCTCGCTCTCTCCTTAATTTTTGCTAAAGGTAAATGGGTAATTGGCCAACATGGAAGAAACTAATTATGTAACTACTGTTGTATCCTTGCATTTTTCAATTTAAATTTAAATTTTGTGTTTTTTTATCTTTGTTTTTTTCTCTTTATAACTTCCTCCAAAATTTCATCCATCGTGCAATAGTTTGCGCCTTTCACTTCCCAGTACAAGACTGTCATTGAAAATCAATCTTCAGGTATCTCTTGGCACTACGATTTTATTGTTGGGGATTTTAAGCTGGGCGAGTAGAAGATTTCAACTCCGATATCAATTCATGGCGAATAGAATGGACTTCATCAATAACTGAAGTTGTAGAAGGAAGATTAGAAATTGAACTTTTGGTTGAATATATGCCTCTTGAGATAGAAATTTGGTTGTACAACGGAGAGTGGTGGCTATTGGAGCTTTATGTTTATGGTTTTTGCAACTGTCATAACCTTTATCTACCTTAAAACGTGGAATCATTGATTGATTGTTTGAAATAGGTCGCTTCTTTATTCAACCTACTGGAACTAATAGATAAGGAGTGTCTAATTTTGCGCCTTATTACTTTGATCTAGTCTATTCGTATATTGGAGATAACCCTGATTTTTTCGTTTGCTCTCAAGTTGTGATAGTCCCCTCTTAGCTGAGTTTTTACTATATAGATGACTTGAATCAACAACTCTCCCTTTCTTTTTGATTAGTGACATATTGTTTCTAAAAGGAGAGCATTGAACCCTTTATATAGGATTGTGAGGTTTAAGATTTAGTTTCAAACTATCTATGGGTTGTGTGAGAATTTCAGTGAGCTTTTATAGTTTATACTCTATATTTCTTGACTGTAAAAGAAAACTAACCAATAGCATTTTAACAGGGACTTAATTAGCATTATGAAAATGGGGTCAATGATACATTTTTTATATTTTATATTCTTAAATAATTATGATATTTCTCCGAATCTTCGACCTATATATTATTTCTTTATGTATCATCTCGATCGAATGATTATCAATAAGATTAAACGGGTTAATAGACTTAAAAGTAACATAAAAATACAAATAATCAAATATGAGCATTCCGGCCAAAGGGCCGGGTTATAAGCTAGTTGGAAGAATGTCATTTTTTCTTGCCACTAATTTGGATTCACCATTTTCTCAGTCATATTTGCGTTGAATGACTGAGACTTTGAAAAATTGCTTATTATTTTTATGAGATTTTCATTTATTTGTCCAAATTCAAATAATAATAAAGTTTTAATAATAAATTATCTTGACACATACGTTTAAGACTATTTCGGTTCTTACAAAAGATAAAAAGAGTCTATCTCCATTACCACAAACTCCTGAGAAACTAAACGGAGCAAGGACTCAAGATAATAGCCTGATTGATAACTACAAATGCATTTTTTTCCTTGGAATAAAAGGTTGTAAGAATTAAATCAGAAAATGTACGGTATCAACCCAAATATCTTACTAGTGAAGCCACCCTAATGTGAATATGGAGTGTCATATAACCTCTATGTTATTGTGTGTTACTGTGTGGATGTTATAGGAATTAATATTTGGTGGGTTTCTTTTTCGTGAGAGGTATTAACAAGAAGACGGGGGAGGGGAAAAAAGGGGTGTGGTTTCTTTGGCTTGCGGAAGCAAGAATGTTGCTATAAAGATTGGAAGCAAATGGGGGTGGAGGTGGTACTAGTTTTCTAATGGGCGTGGAAGTGTCACTCTTTTGGCATTTGGTTTGGAAAGATGGTTACCTTTTCTATTGTCCTTTTCTAGGTCACCCAAAGTTTGGGGAGGATTGAAGGAGGGATTATTATTGCCTTATTGGCACATGCATGGTAAGCACCACTTTTCTTCTTTTTTTTTTTCCACCAGAAAACACCACTTATTTAACGTCTCTATCTTTTCTCATCACCCTATTGTCCGTTTTAGATATACTCTTCACGGTTTTTATTTTGAGCATATCATGATGACTTTTTTGGAGGTCACCTATTTTTACACTGCTCGTACTAAGCATGTTTAACTCCAAAGATTTTTGGAACTCAACGTTCTCGTTGATTAAGGTTTGCCCCACAATCAATCAAGAGGGACGCTGTGAGGCTCTGATAGCACTTAAACATCTCTACCTCTTTTTCACCAAGATATTGTCCACTTTTGGTCTACTCTTACACGATTTTGCTTTTAGAACCCATCATGGCGACTTATTAGGAAATGAGAAGGTCACCCATCTGTGTATTGTTTTACACTAGACATGTCTAACTTTACATCTCTTACAAAAACTTCGCCGTTTCTTATCAAAACGTGTTTCTTGAATCAAGTTAAATTACTCCTTATGAATCTTGCATCTCTCACGTACTTTAATTAACTTTTCTATTTTAATACTTACTTGGGCCGGTATACCCTAATTAGTTGAGACTTGACATCAATTTGAAAAAGGGCAATGTGTACACCCATACCAACACACGTTTTGGGTTTACTTGGAATTTTGGAAAAGATATGCAGTGTTCAACTTGGGTAATTTTATATCCATTAAAGTTTAATAAATTTTGGAGATTGTTTAACACTCAAGTTTCGTGGCTTTTTTCAATACAATAGGAATTGAAATGCTAATACTTTTTACTACTATGTACAATTTCGAGATCCATAACATGCTTCCTATTTATCTTAAACCGACACACCGAGAAAAACGCTTCACAATATTTACTACTCGATCGGAAACGAATTAAAATCGGATGTTCCATAGGATTAATTAACTTAACGAGCTGATAACTAGTTTTCAGCCATCCTAAGAGACGATGCTTGGGCTTATGTGGACAGACGACACTAGCTCGAGGCTAGCGGTAGAAGTGTAGATAATGTTTGCTAATGAGTCGAGTAGAACTGAGATTTATCATGTTTAGATTTGGTTCGTTAATATACGAGTCGAGCTCAACTCGTCTATAAGAAGTGAAGTCGAGGTTGAGCCGACTCATTTATTAAAACCTCATCTCATATTAAGATCACGAGTTCAGCTTGTACTCGATTCATTTATTCAAAATAGTTGAACTTTGAAAGTAAATTCTAAGATAATTTACAAATAAAATATTCTACTATTTGTATGTAAAGTAGGTCATGCATGCTACATGTGATTTAACTAGTTTATATAAAATAATTTCATAGTATTTAGTATCCAAGTAATTTATGATACACAATTTATCTTCTAATTTATATACGAGATATATTTGCTCACATGCTTAAAGTATTAAACATCACATGGAGCCAGAAATACAATTTAACAAATTTATGAATTACCAGAGTTTGATCTTCCAAAATCCAACGAGTATTTTATCGAATGTTGTTTTTTTTTTCCGAGTACACCCACTAAATTATATTTTGGTTTAGTGTAAACACCACCCCCTCACCCATTACCATCTTGGTAACCTATCACCACTCGAGCCCATGCATTGGCGTTCGACATGAAAGGTACAAAAACAATAAATGATAACAATGCCATAACAACGAGTGTTAGGGAAGAAAAACATGTCAGTCGCCACCATTTTCTATTAGCTTAGTGACAAGTGAATATCATTGAGATGGGACAAACTGCTGCTGCAGCTCAAGTAATAAGAAAAAAGGTTTCAAGTGAAGAACATCAGAGTATCAAGCCACGTGAGTATCCATCCATCCCCACGCAGCTCAGAAATTCAGGGCAGCAGGGCATCAGTCAAGCCAGGTGCTGTAGCTGTTGGCTTGGCTGGCTGCTTATGGATGTCGGAATCCACACTAATGACAGATTCAAATTCAAAACTGCTGAAACCAGACCCATGTTAAATTCACAATTAGCTGCAACTTGCATGCAAATGCAAGTCCCCCAGAGAGCTTTCACGTGGTGAACACCCCAGCTCCCAACCCAACCCTTCACACACTTCCCAAACAGGGTTCACCAACAAAGCACGTGTTCTGCTCTGCCTTCAACCAATGCAGTGTTTTACTAATCTCTCCAAAACAATATGCCTAGTTAATCATATGCTCTTAGATCAACCAAACGTCATTATCAGCAGAAGATAATGGAGAAGCTTGCCTGTACACTCCAGAGATCTGGATTCTTCATCAAATTATGATTCAACCATCTATTAGCCTAGATCAGAGATCGGCCACCGACCATCACAAGGGTTGATTACTAACATAACTTAAACAGAAGAAAATGTGTTAACTAGTTAAGGTTCGGCATCAAAGGGATGAAGAAGCAAACAGTGAAGAACAGGCATAAGATCAGAACGACAAAGGAAATGGACCTGCCACACACGCCAGCAGCATTTTCTAGCTTGATTCATCCGGTTCTAGCACATTACCTAGGCATAACAAAAAGACAATCAAAGCATCCCGGAAACCTAATACACGCAAAAGCCAGAGATAGACAAATTGGAAAATGAAAGAAACTGGAAAAAGCCCGACCATTTTAGTAATTTGGGTACTTGCCTTCGATTTTCTATACCCTAAAAAAAGAGCCAACTAACTACCTCACCTCCCGTTCCATTTTTCTTCTCTTTAATTTGGGTACTTGGCTTTGATTTTCTATACCCTCAAAAAAGAGCCAACTAACTACTTTCTTCTTTTTACCTTCTCTTTTGACAAAATCAATCAACTTCTATTTTCTAACACCTGAAAAGTCACACTACAAATACCTTATCTGTTCCAACTGTTCTTATCCATGTCCCCTTGTCGACATCATCCCAACTTGTAGGGGGCCTCAAAAAGAAAGACAATGGACCAAAATGATAATAGGGAAGCAGCTATGCAACAAGGAGACACATTTTAGGCATTATTGAATCCAAAAACCAGAAGTGCCTAGTAAATTTACTTACGAGTCACAATGACGACGAACCTGGAGCCTGTAGGAATGGTGATTTCAACGCTGAAACCATCCCTTCCTTGTTAGTCCTCTGCTTCAATGCTCAAGGTTTGGCTCCTCTGATGCACTTCTCTCCTGCACAAATATTGGCTACGGACTTGTGCATAGATAACTTTGGACCAATCAGTTTCACATTGAGACTTATGGGTCAGTGATTGCATCTATAATATACTCAAAGCATTCTGGTACAATATTTCGTCAAACTAACAAGGATCATGTGCTACACTCTGAACAGTGGCCAGTATGCATGGAATTAATGCAACCAAGAGGTATTTCTCCCAAATTGATATATTCAGCAAGAGAAAAGGAAACATCCAGGGCGAAACTTAAGATCCATTTTTCCAGATCACAGAAGAACCTTTCAATCTTTGTCACTATCCCTATGATATTGATCATTTCATTTCTTTTTTTCTTTTGGCAGTAAACATGGTTTGAACAGAATCGAAGATTGGGGTTGGACGAAAATTCAAACAAGTAGCTGAAGCAAGATATGCACAAGATAGACTTACATAAGCCTTGAACCAAATCGACCGGAAGAATGTAAGATAAGTAAACATTGCAGTCAAAGATATTACTACTGCAAAATTCACCAAGCATTTCAAAGTAGAAAGTTCTTTTTCGGTTCCTTCGCCTGGGAAATGTCCCTCAGTTTGGAAATCTGAAAGCAACTGATCCTTCAGTTGGAATGTCTCGACTAGCCAAGCAGAAGCCTCGTCTTCAGTTGTCGGGATATTCTTCATTGGGATGCGCCGAACATGAATGTGAACTTCTGAAGGATCCACCCCAAACGCATTGTCCAAAAAAGTAGGACATTGATGCTTGTATGCAATAGTCAAATCGTAAACTGCAATCACAAGAGATAATTGTTTGATAGATTTGCCAGAAGACAACAATTCACAGACTATGTATCGAGAGGGAGCATGCTCGGATAAAAGTTGCTTAATGAGGAACATTATTCCCTCAGACGGTAAGAAAAATGAAACCTTAGTCTTATTTCTAGAACTTTGACTGCTGAAGATGCAGCTGTGTTTTACAGGAGTTGGTTGACTGGCTATTTACCTGCATCCAAGGAGTTCTGCAGAACTTCCAAGCAAACATAAAACCCCTTTGTTTTAGGCAGAAGGACGTTTGTCAATACTGGAAGCCCAACTTCAGAGGCATACTTTTGACTCTTCTGGCATTTCTCTTCACTGAATGACAACATAAACAAACAAAAAAATAGACAGTGATGGAGTATCATAGTTGACTGTAAATACTACTCTAGATTCAATTGCACAAATTTCAGATCATATCATGAAAAGGAGGATGATATTCACAGGGAGTAAGGGATGCACAAATTTCAGATCATATCATGAATAGGAAGTTTATATTCACAGGGATGAAGGGAATAAGGCAGTACGTGAAATCTGTTCCTTCAGGGAAAAGAGCAAGCCACAAAGGATCTCGAGGATCCTTAAACGTCGATAACATTTTTCTCATCACAGGCTCATCAGCTTCCCACTTCCTCTCCACCGATATGAACTCCAAGATATGAAACCCCCAACCAAATATTGGCAGCTTCATCAAACTACTCTTCAGAACATACTTTATATACCCTAGGCATCCTTTCCTCAACGCAAGATTCCACAGATACATCCAATCAACCTCGGTCCTATGATTTGCTAGTACCAAAACTCGCTCTTTATCGGGCACCACATCCCCAGAAAATACAACTCTAGTTCCATTTATCTTTTCAAACAAGAACGGCCACAATGCTAACCAGAGAGAGAACAAGAAGGACGTTACTTTTCTCGAACCGTGCACGCTTACAAGCCTCGGCAATACTGCTGCAACAGGCCCAAAGTAGACTAGGAACGTGAACGCAGTCGACAGGTAAACTACTAAACATATCAACCCCCTCACTAGCCTAAGAGAAGTCAGGGGACGATGTTTTAGCCCATGGCTGCTTTTGACAGGCTTGCAAGGTTCCACCATTTCCAGTCCCCCTGTGGATGGAGGAACCGCTTTCTTTTTACTAACTACAGCTGCACAACATGTTATATAGTAAGTTAGCACCTAAATTTCTCATAGTTTGGAGGAAATCATCGAGAAAAGACAGCCAATTGCAAAAATGGAAAGAGCAACTTGTAAGAAAATCCATGCTTGGGCGGAATCTGATAGAAGGAAAAAAAAAATGTTCCCAAATGGAAACTCCTTCAACTCAATTATGGTCAGCTAGAGATTATTAGCTTCAAACCAGACCCCTATAACGCTCTTTCTCTGGAACGCAATCTCACAGAACACTTCCATTAAAAGGCAACCAAAAGTCGTCGGACGGCGACGAATCACAACAAACTCCATAACCATTCAGAATTCAAATCTGAAATACCTTCAAGGTTATAATTTACATATCAGAGTATCACTCGACGAAATTTCAATTTCCAGCCAGCCACCGCACTCACCATAGCTCAAAAATCATAATCTACCGCTACATCCGCCATAGGCACTGATTCAGTAACATTCCCGTGCTCTAAACTTAGTAACGCTTTGAAGCGAACCAGAGAAACGGAACAAACCGAGTGAAAAATAAAACGAAAACCGAATCCAAAACACTATGAAGCGGAAACGCGAGACTCCATTAACGAAATCCGAACAATCAGAAAACGGGAAAAAAGATCTACGCGAACTGAATCTAAAAGGTGGATAAGCCAGAAGAATACTCACCAAGAAGAAACGTCCGAGAAGATAGCCGACAGATGCGAATCGATGAGAATTACGGTGTTGAGGAGTAGCTTCCTCGAGAAGGAAGTAAACGGTGTTGAGAGAGAGGCTGCTCGGCCGTCGTATTGGAGCCAAAGGCAGAAGGAATTTTTGCCGAATCTAGATTCGGGGGGCGCGTAGTATCTCTTCCCGGAGAAACCAATGGAGCTACGGGATTGGTACGGACCCCGAACGAAGCGGAGTGCTGGGTTGCGTGTCGCAAAGTGATTGGGTGAGGGGACGGTCGCACCAAGTGGCTTCTGTGAGCTCTGTGTATCGGATCGTGGTCGGGGGAATTATGGGTTGACGTGGCGTTGGGAAACGGGGAGCGGCGGTAACGAACTGAGGCTGAGTCGCGATCAAAGTTGTCAAACCGTAAGTCATTGAGCCGGTCAAGCAAGGGGTTTGAGGTTTAATGGTCTGATCGGGGTCCGGCCGGTTTGAGCCGTTTTAGACGTTTTTTAGTTATATATACAAATAAAGTAATAATTAAAAATTTAATGAGTGAAATAAAATTTATCTTACATATATCTATTAAAAATTTATTTTCAACAAAATAAATCTACCTAACCTCCATGATCCACCTACCATTTCCCTTCCTTCGTTCCTTTTCCTCTCTTCTGCCTCTCTTCTTCTCCCTGTTTAGGGGTCAGATCGGGGGGTTTTCTGGAGGCCGTTTTGAAGCCCGACTCGGGTTGAACCGGGTCCAACCGGGGGGTTCGATAGGGGTTTAACAACCTTGGTCGTGATCTGATTTGGTAACGGAACGGTGGAGGAAGGAACGGAAAGGAAAGCGAGGAGGAAAGTCCGGCTGTCGGCTGAGCTTAACTTGACTTTCTTGGCGATTATTCGGGATTGGGCCGGTGGTGTTCGTCTTCGTCTGGGGATCTGACCCACGGGCTTTGTTTTATGATGGATTGTTAATGGTCCGTCCACTTTCTCAAGTGATCCAGCCCATTGCGGACGTCATTATCCACACCAATATCATCCAATGTCAATAATAGTATATATAATTTCCTATAGAAAATAATAGTATAATACAATTTGCCAAATTTTGCGTGACAAAGAGATTAGTTAAGGCTAACCACAACCGGGGGTAAAATTTGAGGGTTAAATGGCTAAAATGGCCTTTTAGCCCATAAAAAAAATCAGCAACCTTGAAGGCTAAAAATTTATGTATTGTTTTTAAGTAATCTTAACTTATAAGTAGTTAAATTTATGTTTTTTAATTTCAAATTTATGTATTCATTTACGATAATTCGATACGAACATTTCGATAAAATTTGAACAATTTCAGAGATACTGTTGTTTTTAGTTAAAAAAATTTCATTGATTATAAATTTTTTTTTCTTCAAATAACATTCAGACGGACGAAAATTATACCGAAATGAATTCTTTAGTTGAAAAACACCAAAAACAAACAAAACACATCATTTTAATTTAATTAACGAAAACCAACAAAACAAAACACATCATTTTAGTTGTTTATGTGGTTGTTTTTTTCTAGTGGAGGGACCCGCTTATTTAGCCCCCTCTCATTTTGCCCTCCCCCTAAAATCAAAGCTATTTTAGCTCCTCGAACTCTCTATTTTGCCTTTTAGCCTTGGGTTTAGCCATGGAGTGAAGTAAAAGTTGGGGGCTAAAATGTCATTTTGGCCTTTTAGCCTCCGGGTTGTGGACGACCTAATAGTTACTAGTGTCAACGTAACATTTCTGAAAATGCACGAGATGGAATTGATTTTTAACTTTCTTCTTCTAGATTTCTTCGTTTTGATCTTTCAAAGGTTTTGTTGGTTTGATCAACTCTAATTTTCTATCTTGTTTTATGCATTTCCAATCTACAAATATTTTTCAAGTAAGATAAAAAAAATTGTGAAATATGATGTTATATGTAACAAAAATTAAGGTTTGTTTGAGAATGATATATATGGTAGGGCTGTAACTTTGGCTCTAGTTAAAATACCCATTGATTCGACATGACCCTACCCAAAAGATTGGGTTGGGAATCGCATGCCAACGAAAACAATAAAAATATATTCTTTCTATAGTTTGTCCACAAGTTTATCTTTTGGTCCTATAAGGATTATTTAGTGTCAGGTCAAATTAGGGTGAGTTGGTCATATGATATATATAGCAATAATTAGTGATTTGAAATTCCTCAAATCAATAGGTTGGAACTGTTTGTAAAAATTTAAAAGTCAGTCACTATAGTACAAGGTAAAAATTTAACGAAGCTAAAACATAATTTTACCATCAAGATTTATGAAAGTGTTTGTTAAAAGTTAAAGTTTGGGTACTAAATTATAAAATAAATAATTTAGATACCAAAATGTAATTTAAAAAAAAAACTGCCTCATAGATTTAATATAGTATGAAATGGATTGAAACCCATCAATTGTTATTCACTTATTCTATGAAAATAAACAAATGAACATATATTCCTAAGATGGTGTATGAAAATGAAAGAAATATATATTTACTTTATTGGAGGAATGAAAGTTAAAACAATCTTATCTTGACTTGTATAGTAAACCCAGCATTTCAATTTGTCTACATCAATGGTGTCTAATGTTGGAAATTTGGTTGAACCATAATAACCGGGTCGGATCGGTTTGGGGTTAGACCAAATTGGTTAAATTATTGGACAGATTAATTAAAATAATTAGCCTACATTCTAAGAGAATTGTCCGAGTTTCATTTCTTTTAAATTGGGAAACTTCCCATTCCATTTTTTCACGTGATGCATTTTGTTTCTTGCAATTTGGAATTGCCATTCCATGTAATTGTTTGATCCAAGTAATGCATTGGTTCATGAAGAAAGGCAACCCTTCATGAAATGAAATTGGTGGTTAGCTTGGATAATGGCAACGTTTTGGATTGGTAGTTAGCCACCAAACATTTAATGAAGCAATACAATGCTTCGGTTATAATCTCTATAAATAGAGGCATCCGCTATTTTGTAAAACACGTCACAAATTTCATTCTTCTTCCTACTAAACCTCTAGGTATGCTTTAGTGTTCTTGAGCCTGGAACCTAAAGTGGTGATAGTTGTATCTTCGGAAGAAATTTCCTGTTACCCAAGGTTTTGTGGAGGGTGGAAATATTCTTTTTGGAAAATAAACATTGTTCACGACTCTATCATAATCCTAGTCCCCCGGTCTCGGGCTATCGTTCAAATACCCTCGACCCTCTATTTCGAACATCTAATTTCAAACGATTCATTTTTACAATATGCCTCCTAATCTTATTAAGCTTTTTTTTTTTTTTTTGAGAAAGCATAATCTCATCAGTAACACATAAAGACTACAAAACTAAACCACAAGTTGTCATCGGGGGAACAAACAATTTTATAAGGGCTAAATTGCAAGTTTGGTCACTCGAATTGCTAAAAAAATTCACGTTTGGTCACTCAAATTCGTTTATTCCATTCATAGTCACTTAAATTAGTTGAACAGTCCAAGTTCGATCACTCTCCATCAATCTCCGTCAGACTCCGTTAGTGCCGTCAGTTAACTGCTGACGTGGCTAACAGAGATGCCTAATCACCCAATTTTAACCCAATAAAAAACAAAAATTGACCCGCCGCGTCAGAAAAACATGCCATCTCATATAAACAAAACCCAACTCAGCCAACCTAAAAAAAAAACCATTAACCCACCCAGAAATCGAACCCGTGACCCATCCACCCTTCTTCTTCCTCTATACCCTGCTTCCGCCGCCGCCGGGGGGATTTCCCCTCGATCTCCCTGCTGCAGCCCCGCCGTCGGATCCAGATTTTCGGGTCGAAGTCGAAGGCGTCGCAGGTCGCAGAGGCGAACTCGCCGTACTTGAGGATCTCGCAGCGGAGTGAGGACAAAGGACTCGGTCCTTTTAATTCATCAAGAATTCCCCCGTAGCCAACTTCTTCTAGTGATTAGGCTGGAGCCCAATTAATTAAGCTTTCCCCAGTAGAATCCAAGTCCCAATCTCACAAACGTTCATCTGCTCCTCTTTCTCGTGGGCTAAAGAAAGAAATGTCAAGTCGATTGGGTCGAGGAGTCCGTCCCAATCGTCGATTCCGTGGAGCTCGCGCCACCGCCCGGAGATGTCCCGCTTGGGGGACAGTGTGGGAGTCATGTGGTCGCCCCAATCGATGAAATCGGAGGCCGTGTAGGGAACCTCGAGGAGTAGTGCCAGTGATTTGTGCGGGCAGGTGCTGTTCCTCTTGGCGGCGACGGTTTGGGGGTTATTGGATCCGGCGGCGGGGCTGCAGCAGGGAGATCGAGGAGAAATCCCTCGGCGCGGCAGAAGCAGGGTATAGAGGAAGAAGAAGGAGGGTGGATGGGTCACGGGTTCGATTTCTAGGTGGGTTAATGGTTTTTTTTAGGTTGGGTGGGTTGGGTTGTGTTTGTATGAGGTGGCACGTTTTTCTGACGTGGCGGGTCAATTTTTGTTTTTTATTGGGTCAAAATTGGGTGACTAGGCATCTCTGTTAGCCACGTCAGCAGTTAACTGACGGCACTAACGGAGTCTGACGGAGGTTGATGGAGAGTGATCGAACTTGGACTGTTCAATTAATTTAAGTGACTACAAATGGAATAAACGAATTCGAATGACCAAACGTGAAATTTTGTAGCAATTCGAGTGACCAAACTTGCAATTTAGCCATTTCATAAGGAAGGACAAGTTGTGGAAATCAGTTATTATAATCTGCATGCTTTGCTCAAGCTTGTAATTATATCCAATTATATCGCCAACGGGAGAATTTGACAGCCTGACGTATCAATTTTCCTCTTAAAAAAAACGTTTCGGTTGGTGTACGATACAGGATGGAAGGCACTAAACTAAAGCACTTAGCCAGCCAGCCAGCCCATCAAGTTCAATTCCACGGCATTGAAAATAACGGAAGCTTCCATTGTTCTTCTTCTCTTCTCCCACCTTGTTTTGGTTGTCGCGCAAAAGAACAAAACCAAAACGACAAAGCAGTTCTTCCGAGGAATCGATTAATAGGTCCAAACCCTCCCACATCCCCGTATCCAACGTCTAACGCCTTTGCTTGCAATTGGTCCCTTGACCTTCTTTGTTTTGTGTTCGTCTAACTCGAAACTCTTGTTATTCTGGACTGCTGCTACATTCTAAGTTACTTGATATCTTGGACCTTGTTGTTCTGGAATTTGTTTCTTTTCTTCTCGTTTTATCTCTTATAGACTGTTTGATTGTCAAATAAAATAACGGAAGCTTACTTGATAGCTTGCATTTGGACCTACATTCTAAGTTACCAAATGAATCAAGAATTTATTTCATTGTAAAATGAATTACTGTGTAAAATTCATTGTCAAATAAAATCTTGTTTTTGGTATGTCATATTCAAATCTTTATAAATAAAATGAATTGTCGTGAAAAAAGTGTAGAACCAAAAGCAAAATGCACGAGAATTTAACGTGGTATCCCCGACGAGTGTCGGGACTAATCCACGGGAGAGCAGAAACTCTCCGGCTACTGATGTTATTTATCAGTTGTTCACAAACTGCATGAGCCGTGTACAATGAGCATATATACCCTCGTCACAAGTAGCTAGGGTTATATCAGAGGCAGTGTTCTCGTTACACACGGAAACCTCATGCGCAGCGGAAGGAAACGAGGCTGCATGGGCTTCACGAGAAGCTACATGGGCTTCATGGGCGGTGCCTGTTTGACGGGCTGCATGGATTGACGTGGTGGACGACACAAGCCCATTCTCACGATCCAATACTCCCCCGCAAGCTGGAGCGTGAAGGTCACGAACGTTCACCTTGGAGAGAAGGAAGCGGAAGCGGTCTGTGCCCAAGCCTTTGGTGAAGATATAAGCAAGCTGTAGGTGAGTACTGACTTTTCGAGGAGAAATGGCGTCGGACTGAACACGCTCACGCACGAAATGGCAATCCATTTCCACATGTTTAGTATGCTCATGAAACACCGGGTTGGCAGCTATGTGAAGAGCAGCCTGGTTATCGCAGTAGAGTGGAGTAGCACCTTGCTGTGGTACGCCAAGATCTGTAAGGAGCCAGCGAAGCCAAAGAACCTCGCTTACAGTGCTGGCCATCGCCCTATACTCGGCCTCGGCAGAAGAACGAGCCACGACTTTCTGTTTCTTGGTGCGCCAAGAGATCGGAGCTCCTCCCAAAGTAATAAAGGAGCCAGTGGTGGAGCGTCTGGTCTGCTCACAACCACCCCAATCTGCATCACAGTAAGCAATCAGCGTGAGATCGTTATCACGAGGGAAGAAAATACCTTGACCTGGCGAGGTCTTGAGCTAACGCAGGACGCGGATAGCAGCATCCATGTGACCACGGCTGGGAGCTTTGACAAACTGACTGAGGACATTCACGCTGTAAGTGATGTCTGGGCGTGTAACCTTAAGGTAGAGGAGGCGTCCAATGAACCGTCTGTTGCTGGAAGGATCATCCAAAGCCTCATCAGCTGGAGTGGGACGCGTGAGGTGATGGTTTTGCTCAACAAGAAAGGCACTGGGACGAGCGCCCTCCACCCCTGCATCCTCGAGAATGTCAAGCCTATATTTGTGCTGGCATAAAACCACGCATCAGGAGTGCGAGCTAGCTCCATCCCGAGGAAGTAGCGAAGATCTCCTAAGTCCTTGATGCTAAACTTGGCATCCAGGAATCCTTTCACATGAGTGATGAAGGAAAGGTCGTTGCCAGTAAGGATGACGTCGTCAACATAGATGAGAGCCGCCACAAAGGTGCTCCCCCGCCGAAAAATAAACAGAGAGTGATCAGCGGGCGAAGAACGAAAACCAAGGCTACACAATGCAGCCAGAATTTTTGGTACCAGTTACGCGAAGCCTGACGAAGTCCATAGAGGGACTTGTGTAGACGACAAACCCGGGCATCACCAGGAGCCGCAAAATCAGGGGGAAGCTTCATGTAAACCTCCTCATCCAAATCTCCATGAAGGAAGGCGTTGTTCACATCAAGTTGATGAAGATGCCAATTACGACTAAGTGCAACAGCGAGGAGACATCGAACAGTCACGAGCTTTGCAACCGGAGCAAAAGTGTCATGAAAATCAATGCATTCGATCTGGGTATAGCCTTTGGCCACTAGACGAGCTTTGTAACGCTCGTTGGTGCCATCCGGTTGGTACTTGATCTTGAAGACCCACTTGGCAGCGATGGTCCGCTTCCCATGAGGGAGATTGACTAGGCTCCAAGTACCATTCTTCTGAAGGGCACGAATCTCTTTGAGCATGGCTTCCTACCAGCGTGGGTCGGCGAGTGCTTCACGATCAGTCCCTGGAACATCATGACTGGTGGCTGCAGCCAAAAAGGAATGATAAGCAGGTCGAAAATGATCATAGGAAACACAAGCTGAAAGTGGATGAGAGGTAGTGGTAGAGGTACTTCCCTCTAATGTCGGATCCTGTAAAGGAGCAAACTGCGTGTCATATAGACCCAGGTGCTTCGGCCGAATGCAAACGCGAATGCTGCAGCGAGGCTGCGGTGCCGTGGGGGACTATGCGGCTGGTTGGGAGCTGCTAAGTGGATGCTCGGACGAATCGGCAGCTTGGGAAGAAGCACTAGACGGCGTGTCCGCTGGTGAAAGTTGGTGACCGCCAGAGGAAGCTGAGGGCGGTTCGGAATTGGCATCTGCCAAGCCTGGAGAGGGCGACCCAATATCCCCAAGAAGTTCATCGTCAGGATCATGATCTAGCACGGTAAAGACTGGTCGTGGTATCCAGTGTAGGCGGTGTGTCATGCCTTCCTGAAAAGGAAAGTCTCCTTCGCAAAAATGGACGTCGCGAGAGACAACTATCCTGTCGGTGGCAAGTTCCAAGAACCTGTAACCTTTCTGAGTTGTAGCATACCCAAGGAATACACAAGTCTTTCCGCGTTCAGCAAATTTGTCGAGCGAGGCATGGGTGTCTTTGATATAGGGTAAACAGCCGAAAATGCGAAGGTGTGAAAGAGAGGCAGCTTTCCCAAATAGCACCTCAAATGGTGATCGTGAGAATGGGCTTGTGTCGTCCACCACGTCAATCCATGCAGCCCGTCAAACAGGTACCGCCCATGCAGCTTCTCGTTTAGCCCATGCAGCCTCGTTTCCTTACGCTGCGCATGAGGTTTCTGTGTGTAACGAGAACACTGCCTCTGATATAACCCTAGCTGCTTCGTATCTCCTTGTTCATGGCTGTTTTTAGCCAACCCTTTATCATGGCGTCGCAACGAATCCAGGCTTGGCGCGCCTCGCCCGCTGCTGGCTTCACAAGCGTTCCATCAACGAACGCGTATTTATTTTTTGCAATTAATGCGTCTTTCATATCAAGGCTCCACTCTCTGTAGTTGTTCAACGTGAGCACATCGCCCACCAGCATTTGACCAGGACCATCAGAATTGTGGAGGAACAGGACAGGTGGGAGAGCGTTGCTTCCGTCGTCGACCTTGCCGCTGTCGGTGGCGTCTTATCCACTCTTCGTCTCACCTGTCATTATGTATCAGTGTCGAGGACGCGACAACTCTGATACCATGAAAAAAGTGTAGAACCAAAAGCAAAAGGCACGAGAATTTAACATGGTATCCCCGACGAGTGTCGGGACTAATCCACGGGAGAGCAGAAACTCTATGACTACTGATGTTATTTATCACTTGTTCACAAACGGCATGAGCCATGTACAATGAGCATATATACCTCGTCACAAGTAGCTAGGGTTATATCAGAGGCAGTGTTCTCGTTACACACGGAAACCTCATGTGCAGCGGAAGGAAACGAGGTTGCATGGGCTTCACGAGAAGCTGCATGGGCTTCATGGGCGGTGCTTGTTTGACGGGCTGCATGGATTGACGTGGTGGACGACACAAGCCCATTCTCACGATCCAATATGTCGTGTAGAATTCATTGTCAAATGAATTTCTGCGTTTGGTATGTCATATATATAAGTAATTTAGTTAATAAAGAGGATAATTATGTCATTCTATTATAATTAGTTAATAGTTGTGGAATTCATTTGGAAATTTCATCTCAATTCCTCAGAATTGCTATAACTAGTACCAATTCCATAGAATTCAAATTTTGGAATTGAAAATGGATTCTTTTAAATACCAAACAAAAAAATGTTTCATTTCAAAATGAATTCCTCAAAACTTAAGGAATTCATTTATTCCAAACGGTATGTTGAGGAATAACAAGAAGTCAACTAGTTGTATTCACGAGAGGTGATGAGTAATGACAACTCCACCCTTAAATTTTAGAATTTGATCGACAAATGTATGCGAATTCTCAATATGTATCTTTCACTTATTGAATCATCTAATTGATACTTTAAAAATTTGTCTAGAGAAGTACCTTTTTTTGTCATAGAAATCCTTATGGATTAAACAGGTAAGCATGAGAAGCCACAACCATTACAGCCCCTCATGGACTCAACGACAGACCAAATAGGAGAAATAATATAGAACATTGCTTAATCCAGGATAGCAGAGAGCATTACGTGCGACGATATGGGCAGTCTGCTTTGCTTCTCGAGGAGTAAAAACAAAGTGTACTAGAGGGAGATGTCGTAACATGCTAATAACTTTACTAGTAAATGGCACCACACCGACCATCATGCACATCACGATCCTCCAAGTGCTTTAACACGACTTGCGCATCACCACTAATTTGGATAGGTCGATCCTCCATCCCCAATGGCAAAGAAGCATAAGGGCATGACGAATGGCCAAAAGTTCCACTGTGAAGGCATCCACGAGACCAGGGAGTGAGCACCCAAAAGTGAACAAAGGGATGCCTGCCTCAAATCCCACAATACCTACACCACCATGAGTTGGATAATTTGTAGCACCATCCACTGCTAGCCGGAATCCTAATGAGAGATTTGGGGTTCGTGATCGACGATGCTGCATTAGTGGGGGTACTATATTTGTCTGAACAACAACTTGATGGTCCGCCTGGTAAGATAGAAATTGATGATGGAGGGTGGATATGGTAAATTGGGCATGAGGGAGAAACACGACATTATTGCGACTTTTCCAAAGTTGCCAAAATAGTAACACCCCCTTGGTGATGAGGGAGTGATCACAAGTATATATGAGGGGCCACCAAAAGATGGAGATGTGGGGTAGCACTAGTAATACCCATCGAGAGTTGTAAGTTCAGCACATGTCGAAGCTCCTCCGCCACACGACAACGAAAGAATAAGTGTTCGAGGGATTCACCCTCAATAGATTCGCAAACCGAACACAATTCTTCAACTTGTACTCCATGTAGTTGCAGATTTTCGCGAACTGGTAAAATCATGAGCATTAACCGCCACAAGAAGAATTTTAATTTCGGGGCAATCGAAAGGCCCCACAACTTAGGCCAAACCGCAGGATCCAACAGGGCGGCGGGGAGATTCTAGGTGGTCGTGTGGTAGGCGCTGCGGATTTTAAGAGATGGAATGCAGATTTGACCGTAAATAATCCAGAGTAATGATAATGTCAAATATACCGATCGGTGGAGGGATGCAAAGGAAGAGGAATTTCCAGAATTGCAGAAACGGAAGTGGCATAAATAAAACTCATGCAAACGTTGGTGATTCCACATTCCCAAGTGAGGATCAATAAAATACGAAACAAATCGAGATGTTCCTCCAGTCGTGGCCAACAAAGTACCTTCTTGAACCCTGTCGTCCAAACTAATATCAGCCATGCTAGGTTGTTAGAGGCAACAAATGGATAGGTAGATTCATGTATTAGATTGATTCATGGATAGAAGTGACATCCAAACATTGGATCATTAAGTAAAATTTGGAAAATATAGCTATTAAGATACCATAATAGTAAAAAATTAGGTATCAAAATGTAAATTTATAATGATAGTTTTTGTCAAAAAATATATTTTGGGTACCACATTGTGAAGTATAGAATATATAGTTACTAAATTGTAATTTGCCAAAATCCACCAATCCATTTAATTTTGGATCAAATTGATTGGATATTTGAAATTACAAGAATTGGATTGGATTAATGGACTGATGGGAATTTTCGTTATCACCTCGAATATATTAATAGTTCCATTCTACAAAAGAATTAATCGTAAACACTTAAATACAACAAGCATTACTGACCATCTCCGAAGAGCTCAGTCAGAATTGCGCCTATAGAGTCGGGACCCTTAGGCTTCAATCTAAAGGGCGACCGCTCGGCAAGACTCGGAATGTGATTTCTCTGCGGCTCCAAGGTCCATTATTTTGCATTCCAATTAGCACGCCTCCCATAAGCAAACAGAGTTCTCGATTCTTTATCACTAGAGTGCCACTTGGTCGTCGGCTTGGAGTAGAAGAAGTCCTTGAACCAGGCCGAATCAAGATTAGGACAACCAGACACGAAGCCGAGTGCCTTATCGCGCTTCCCGAATGACCAAACGTTTAACGCGCGTCGAAGGCCATATATATAGCGGAAAGCGACAAAAGAGGGCTCTTCACCTATTCTCTGACAAGCGAGTCGATAGGCACAGGCGTGGAATATAACCGTAGGCGAGAGACGCCCAAGCGTACAGTTCAAGCAGAGTAGGGTTTTTGTGATGATGGGATCAAGAGGAAAACGCAGCCCCAACTTCAACTGCTCAGTTTAGATGGTAATCCACCCCTTAGGATAGGTTCCCGCTCGAGAGTTCGGCGACGAACACGCATACTTTCAGTCAGTGGGCATGTTGTAATTTCGAAGGCGGGCGAGTACAGTGGCAGGCTTGAGATTGATGTACATATCCGGCCTGTGGTCAAAAGCCTTAATAGGTATATCGCGGGTGCCCCACATGTGAACGTGAAGCCTCACATATTATGCATTGTCTTCCACCGCTCTAAAGTTATAACCAGAGGTATCCTTAGAAATATCGAGCGAAGGTGGTCATTCGAGCTTGCCTCATCAATACTAAGCCCCTCTTCAGAGCTAACGCTCACTAAAGAATCACCACAAAAATTTGCCAAGTTATCCCCAACTGCAGACGCATCCCTCCTAACCGCTATAGTTTCTCTTCCCAAGCCCAAAGTAACGTCGGTCAATTTAAATGAACAATCTCCAGTTTGGCCCAATAGAAAGAGGCCATCATCAGACCAAGACCCGCCAAATTCTCTGTTAACCCCGCTTAGATCCCATTCAACATTCGATATACTAAAGGGCGAGAAAAGATTGAGATTTAGCATATCTTGAGTGGCGACAATAATAGGATCTGAAATTGTCGCCGACAAGTCAAGGACGATGGGCGCGGCAGGAGGGTACGCAACGATGACAGTGGTCGCAGCACCGCCAGTGATGGCGGCGGAAGAAACGACAGTGTTTCTTTCTTTGCTCAGCGAAGAGCCCGATCCGGAAGACATTAGGTTATCACTAGGAATCGTAAGGACTCGCTGGAGTTTGAAATGGCCGCAGCGTGCTATGAGTAACGAGCAAAAGGAACTGAAAAATGACGAGAGAAGCTGGCGACGAGAAAAAAGAAGGAGCAAGTAAAAGCGGAGAGAAAACTTACCAATTCTAGTTTGCAGGGATTTTTTAAAAGAGATGGGAGCGCCATTTCGTGATGTCATTTGAGTGACCCAAGGGCTCTATATTGGTGGCAATGATGACAAATTCAAATTTTTCTGACATGCACAGTCTCCCAAGCAACAGTGAAGAGACAACCTGTCAGATGCAAAGTGAGGGAACACACAAGTACTAACCTGAGGCGTGCGGCCCACGGTTCGACAGCTGGAGGGGAAATGTAGTGTGTAAGCCAGGTCCTAGGTTTAGTAAGCGCCCCACCTTATACTTAAGACAGCCGCCAAAACCCAGGGCTTTTCCCGGCTGCGGGACAACTTTTGGGCTAAGCTGAAACCGCTACCTAAACCTAAGGCCTGACAAGACTGGTGGGCCGGGCTTAAAGTGATAGAGAGACGAGGCCCATAAAGAACCAGAATGCCCAGTAGGGGAACTAAGCCCGAGGAAAGCTATAGGCGTGAGGCGTAAAGTACCCAAAGGCAAGTACGGATTAAGTAGACCTTATAGGACATCGGTAGTGCCAGTCATACCTACTCTGACATGGCATTAAATGCAGCCGCGAGCAGAGTGCAGGAAAAGTACGTTCAACACACTCATAACAGAGCATTAAATGCTCATACCAACCACATTCGACTATAAATACCCTTCAACCACAACATTTAATGGTAACCTAACTACTCACCTCTCTCTCTCTCTCTATATATATATATCTGTTTTCTGACTTGCTCTTTGGAGAGTGTCCGAGGCCCCCGCCTCCGGACCCTTCGTGCAGTAATCCACGTCTCCGACCTGTGTTCGACGAGAGGCGGAACCTGACGTAAGTGGCCACATAAACCGCCTGAAACATTCTAGGCTTAAAGAGTAGCCAAGTGGCATCCCTCGCTCTTCAACATGTACATCATGCATAAACTTATACTGCATCCCTCATTATACTATTTCTCAAACCACAAAAATAAACGGACAACTTTGAAAAATCCTCACTAATTAGAATATCGACCACAACCCCTCAAATTCCCTCTCTCTGTCCAGCCCTGATTCTTAGTTTCTCACCCATCCTAGCCCCCTAGGCCTTATTTACACCTTCAGTTCCAATTGATGGGCTCCATATGCTCGTTCAAGTAAAGGGACAGAGTTGGAGAGATAAAAGATGTCAACAATTATTGATAAGCACCTTCAGCTCTTATCAAGAAAAGACAATTGATGGATCGGAGTCAAACCGGCCCCTGGACAATCCATACACTCTAGATGTTAGTTGCAGAAACGACGATCGATGGCTTGAGAACTATTGCGGTTTGCCCATGGATCCTGGTTGTGGTAGCGGCCGGATTTTGGAGAGAGTCTTGGAACTGCAGACAGAGTGATGAACTATGGTATATGTAACGGTTAGAAAGCGTCAATGCAACGCTAAATGCTTTTGGTTTTTGGGAAACGAAGCACAGAAAAGCAGACCGAAGGATCCATGGTGGCATCCATTCTAAACTCAGCCAACCTCCAAGTAAATCGACGGAGGAAAAAACGGAAGTGTCAGAGGGCCGGAGGGCCGGAGGGGGAATCCGATATGGATAACGGAAGGCGAGGGTGTAGAGATTATGTAGAGCGAGTTTGTCTTTCCGCATATAGAGAAGGCCCAATTAGGGCCCAAATCGGTGAAAGGATAGCCCGACTCACACAACGATGGAAGGCTTGCAACCTGTCGTATCACGTATGTGTATTAAAACGCACTACAACATTAAGTTGGGGTGGAATTGTCAAAGATAACCTTCCGTGAAACACTCTCACGACAACAAATTTAAAATGCTGAAAAATGGAGTCATGAATCTCCATTATATATTTTGTAGATGATGTTGTCTTATTGAACAACATCAAGTATCATAATTGAATTCTAACAAATGATAAAGGTTACCGTCACCATTAACTTTCTACTACGATTTCAAATCAATGTTTATGAAACCTTATAACATGTAGACTAATAAAATCAATTGTGCAAGATAGAATAAAAAACTATATACAACGACTGAAGAACATAGTTCTAAAACAATGTCATTTGACTGGTTTAAAAACCAGGTATATTTCATAAACCTCGATTCATCAAACTCCGTTTGGGTATCTGTACAGTTTGAACGTCATGATCCCGTTCAAACGAAAAATATCTTTTCCTAACTAATATACAACAAAAATCAAAAAGAGGGAAAAGTCCAAAATCCGATTGTACCATTCAATCTAATTCTACTCTTCCTTCCCCGCAGCCCGCCGGTGAGAACCCTCCTCGCCGTCGACGCCTTCATCCCCAGATCCCCTTTTCCTCCTCCACCGCATCCCGATGTAGAACTTGAACACCAACAACAAAATCACCCCGTTCAAAACCGAATTAAACCCCCAAGCCCCAATCCCATTACAACCCCCGCCGGAGAGATGCAGCAGGAGGACGGCAGAATGGCAGACGAGATTGCAACACAACAGCACGACCTGGCAATTGACGACGAACCCGAACCGCGGCCGGGCGCCGGGGAGTCCCGCCGCGGTCCAGAACCGGTACCCGTACACCACGGCGTAGAGGAGCGAGGTGAGGAGGATGGCGAGCACCTGGAAAGATTGGGAGAATTCGAGCCAGAGGAAGGAGGTGACGAGGAGGAAGGACTGGTTGAGGAGGGTGAAGGCGGAGAGCTTTCTGCGGCGGAGGACGACAAGGAAGGTGCGGAGGAGGTGGAGGAAGCGGGAGAGGTAGAAGGCGTAGGACCAGAAGAAGACGCGCCCCGACGCGCGCGTGCCGATGGGGAAGCAGAGGAGCCACTGGAGGGCGTTGTAGTTCTTGGTCCGGCGGCGCCAGAGCCAGCGCGTGTCGCGGATCTCGGCGGCGGCGGAGAGGAGGGTGCCGGCGAAGATGGCGGCGGAGAGGAGGGAGACGGCGAGGCTGTGGGCGGCGGGGATGGGGCCGAGGGGGACGCGGCGGCGCGGGGAGAGGAGGAGGGAGAGGAGGAGGTGGAGGAGGACGGCGGCGAGGATGTAGAGGGCTACGGCGGAGACGAGGAAGTACCAGGTGGATCCCCAGAGGGTGGTGGTCCAGCGGAAGTTGACGATGGCGGGGTGCTCGGAGAGCCAGTATTGGAGGGCGTTTGTCGCCGGAGACGGCGACATTGGGGCATTTAGGGTTTAAGGCGCGGCGGAGGAATTTGGGTTAATTGGGCGGCGGAGATTTGGAGGGGGAAAAGAGGGGATTTTGGGGAGGCGGGGTTTTGATTAATAAATAGGGATTTTGGGAGGAAACGGAATCGGAAGTTGTTCGGGCGGGGAATGGGAGGCGCGTAAGAGAGGAGACTTTGAAAGGTAAGGAATGGATTTTAGAAGGGTAAGTATAAACCTGTTGTTGATTATATATATAATTAACATAATTAATTAATTAATGGTCGGCAGAGGGATTTTAAATAAGTCATTAATCTAGAAGAGCTGTGCGCCGTGCGGGAGAAGGAGGACTTTGAATCCGCCGCCGGCTCCCATAATTCAACGCATTTTCGTGCAACAAATGCTAATGTCGATAAGGAATTTTTTTCATTTGTGCTTCTAGAGGTTTTGTTTACTCTCTATCTCTATATGACCCAAACACACCCTTCAAGTCACGAATTTGGATGGCAGGAGAAACAGCCGGTGGAAACTACTACTAGGATTGAATTCAAGTTCTTATTATCATCTTCCTCTTTTGACATCCACCTCAACTCTCACCTTCACTTCTCTCTATATCCACTATTGAGGAGTTTTCAAAATTTCTAATCTTGAATCCCTCAATTTTCCGAGCGAGTTATCGTATTAAAATCTGACGAGAGATTTGAGTGAAATCTCTCATCTGAACGACCGCTTACTGATTATTATTAGTAGTATAATGCTAGCACATATCATGTCCCCATATGTAGGGACAATAAAAGTGCAAAGTTTATGGTCCCGTAAAATTGGATGGCTTCTCTAATGTTTAGGTCGTTGAACAAAAACATTCCAAGAATTCAGATAAGCATGTTATAAAATCGCTGACTTTTTTCCTGTACAATCTCTGTATGGCTTTATGATTCTTGGTTTACCAAACCCATAATTGTTTCTCCCTAGAAAGTACTCAGGGCTAACATAGTAATTATGGGGCTCCGATCTGGACTCCCTCGTCCAATCTCTTCGGGAGGCGAGGAATCTGTGAGGAGGGGGCGGCCCCCGGGGGATCTACGCTCTGACGCCCAAGTTAGTACGATATAGAGGTGTATGGTGTTTAGAAAGAGACCTTAACGTAAAAGTGTGGAAGGGAAGAGGAGGATCCTCTTCTTGAGAGGCTAAGCGGTGAGCTTGGGCCTATAGTCGTTTGTCGTATTAGGCGGATTAATACCACACCCAACGATAACATTCCAATAGTATTTCTCACATGCTTAAGCGAAGGGTAAGGAAATCCGGCCCAAAGTTCACAAAGACTACACAGAGTCCAGTCCATCATTCTATTTGGGCTTTGTTTTCGGGTACTGGGTCTGGTACCATACTTGGCCCTTCGTGGAGATCCAATCCGGACCATATTACACATTCATGTAATTTCTTTTACCATTCGCCGACATTTCGTGACGGTGGCCGGGGAGGGAGTTACGGAGAATTACTGAGAACTGGATAAGCGTGTCCAATGGCCGTACGCCAGCTAGACAAGACAATTACGCGTGGGAGAAGCTAGACAAGAACATTTTGTGTTTCATTTCTCACTTGGCAAAGGCCATGTGACACAAGTTGGTAAATTGTTATATCTTAGTTGACACTAATGTTACTATGAGTTGGAAACACATGCCATGTTGTATGTCTTTGTGGGTTGATTATTCTTGATTTTATTTCATGACTTTTTTGAGGTTGTGGGAACTCTATAAGTCTTGCATATAATACTTAGTATTCTTTGGTTCATTTTCATGCATTCGTTTCATTTCTGATAAATTTATCATTTTGATATTCTCGTTCAAAAATGGATTTCAAGTGATCGAATTGTGAACCGACTCCAAATACTCTACCATTCACCTTTACACTATTTAACTAGCTTTGCTCGCGCCCATTAGCCGAATTAATTATTTTTTTCATCATTTATAAATAATTAAAGTATTTGTCATTTGATAATGTGTTACCTTAATGTAATTAATTATAACCACAAACCTTATTTTATAAGTTCATGTAACTTTTCACCCAATACAGATTAGTGAAGTGAAAAATCACGAGCCAGAGATTAAGTATCAAACATGTTTGCTGATATGACAATACTAATCTGTTGTGATTAATATCATTAGTGGAGTTCATGTTTCCAATTTTGTGATTAAGTTTATCTTATTGGCCAACTACTCTAAATCATGATGATATGGGACTTGTAGGTAGGGGTTTTCAAATGGTTACCGTGATAATAACCAAACCAATTAAACTTAAATTTCATTAACCATCGAATAAAATGTCTTAACCAAAGCATCCAAATTAACACGAAAACCATATTAACAAAACTAAAATTTAATTGGTTTGGTTAATTGGATAATCGGATTAACCAAATAACATAATATTACATGAAAATAATTATCCTGTTAATGAATAAAACATAACCATATGTTATTACTATCATAAACTATCATTATATACAAGCAATAATAATAAGACTAACCATCCATGATTATCATCATCATTCGAGTTAATACATGATTCATCATCTCTACACCTAATATAGTTAGCTTACAACAAACCCTTAACATAAATATTACATACATACCAATACCACTCATCAGGAAGTTAAAGCTCTCCTACAAAACACTTAAACTATACATAGTTTGAGGTGGCTGTCATGGTATTGTACGTAATCCTAAAGTCTAGTAGCTGTCCAAAATGTTTTGGTTTAGTAAATAGGCAGACCCATTGAATTTTTGACCCATAATGCTTTGGTTTGTTGTGCACAGGAAAATAAAATAGGGAATCACGAAAGTTTGGTTTGGTTTGTTGCATGGAAGTATAAATAATTTTGTATATTAGGTGTATCAATAATAGGTTAATTGGTTTCATTGGTTAGCATGGTTGAAACCAAATCAAACCACCTAAACCAAATAAGCTAAATGGTTTAATCAAACCAAACCAATTATCCAAATTAACCGAATGCTACCGGTTAATATGGTTACCACGGTAACTAATCCGTTTGAACACCCCTACTTGTAGATCATGAGATCAAATCCTAGTAATGGTTATATTTAGGGTAATGTCCATTTTTTATCCAAATCTTTTTTAGATTCTTTTATTTTATCCAAACCTATCAAAATTCTATTAATTATCCAAATCTTTCATAATATATCAAAATATTAGCCATTTTTATGTTATCGTTAATAATTTTGTAACTCTTTTCTTAGTTAAAATATCAAAATTTTGGAATGTTGACCTTCATGAATCTCTTCCAATCAGTATCATGTTGCCAAGTCAATATTACTAACAAAATTGCTAACTGTAAGTTAACATTTGGCTAAATCTTAGTATTTTGATAGGTTTGGATAATATAAAAGAATCTGAAATAAGTTTGGATAAAAAATAGACATTACCCTTATATTTATATGTTTATTTACCTTTAGCTAGACTGCAACTTAGTATATGAAGGTTAAATATTAGGACTTTGCTACGGTGACATGCACTTTTCGGTCGACCTCACATAAGATTAGGTCGACCTAATCTGTTGTTTCAGTGTAAAAACAGTTTCATGGTGCCTACTTTGGAGATTCATATCTTAAAATTGGCTAGATGGAAATGGGAGATCAATGACTTGTTTTTGAAGCTGAAGTGTCCATCTACACATTAAAGTACTTGGGAGCTCAATAAGAAGTCCAGAACACCATTTTTAAACCTGATCAAAAGGCTATGCCAAAATTGGAAACTTCCTGAAAATGGCCATGTCTGGGAACGTGTTTGTGAAGCCTACTTTGGAACACAATTTGAGAAGCATGGATGCGAATAGAGTCCAGGGGCCTCTACCACGTTAAATTAGGTATGTTTTTATACAAGGTCATAGCATTGGATGAAAGATTGGATATCTGTAAGAAGATGAACCAAATTCTAGGGGACTTCAAATTTGGAAGAAAAAGAAAAATATAGGAGGGAAGGAGATGAACCAAATTCTAGGGGACTTCAAATTTGGAAAATTCAAGCTTCCCCAGAGGTGAGCATTCCCCACTTCTTCTCTTCTTTATGATCAAAACCTTTACCTCTCTTCTCTCAAGTGTGTTGGAAACTCAAAATGACATATCCCCTTCTTTGAAATCGGGTCAACCTATTTGTAGGCCAAGGGACGGACGAGTTCACAGCCAGTTGGTGGTCGTGAAATTTCAAGTGAACCCGTGAACTCTCCGAATGACGTCGCACCGTTGAAGTTGATTGGTTGATTTGAGTTCACAACCGTGATCTTTGAGTTCACGGGCGTGATCTTGAGATAATGTCCGGATACTCACCCGTGATCTCTAAAGGCTCCACTGGTGAAACTATAGGTTCTAGTTTCGGTTTTATAAAAAATCACAACTAAGCAGGTTTTCATATTTTTTTCTCAGGAAAAGGTGGTGTCCGGATACTCACCCGTGATCTCTAAAGGCTTCACTGGTGAACCTATAGTTTCTAGTTTCGGTTTTATAAAAAAACCCAGCTAAACAGATTTTTGGATTTTTTTCTCAGGAAAAGGTAGCTTCATTTTTTTTCAATATTGGTTTTTGTTGCCATAACTACAAAAAATAGAACGACAATACAAAATCATTCTTTTATTTATTTATATAAGGGTGTTCTAGGTTTTCGTTTTTTTGTGATTAAGTTACTATTTAAGGAATTCGAACCTGAGACCTTCAGGATCTACACTAGTGGTATTACAAATAAATCAAATCCTTGTTCGTGACAATACAATAGCGTTCAGTTTATATGTTATTAGACGGTCGTGAATGTTCGATAATTAAGAAATTTGAAATGGTTAGACATAATTTCAGAAAGTGTATAATTCCATTCATGATGATTATTGGAACGAATTGGAGAGTGGAAAAAAAAGATATGAGGTGCTCTCTCCTCTCTCTTCGTGGAATGGTGGGCGATGGTGCTCCACCTTCCCTTGCATCTTGGCCAATCGGCGGGCAAAGCCATTCTCAACCTAATGGTGGCTGTGTTCGAAGCAACCCTTGCAAATCAAGACGTCAAAGGAAATTGGCGCCATTGTGACGGCTGGACCAATGGTGAGATGGAGGTCAATGGAATCCGGCGGCAGCGAAATCACATGATCGCCCCTCAGTTTTGTGGAGATGGGATCCATAAACA